CCTACACACAATTGATAACCTCTTCTTCACAGCGCCTTTCATTATGATGATCATCACATTCAGTCTCTCTTGAGAAAGGCAGAGGTTCTATCAGCTGTGAGATTGTGGAAAAGTCACATGCCCCTTGTGGGCTCCATAGAATACACACATATAGCCATCCGGCTGATAATATTGAGAACTCACAGGAGCACTGAGATGTGAGTCCTGGCTGTCCCAGTGCTTACCGACATGATCCTGAGAAAGTCATCTGGGTCCCTGCTCATCCTTCATGATATATTCTCTTGTTGGCATTGGCTCTATCAGGGATGTTTTCCCAGTTACCCTGTCATGTCACCCACACACATGAATCAATACTTCCTGGGAACAGGATGAACCCCAGAGAGGTGGGTGTGTCTGAGGCAGAGGAGCTTCCATCCAGGGCCTTGGCTGTCTACAGGGTATCCCTTTGCTTACACTAGCCCAGAAATAGGGACCTTTCCCGCTGGCCATTATTCCTAAGAAGAAAGCTGTATTTATTTGCCTAAACCTCCAACTATCCCAGACTTGGGGCTCAAACTGAGAGGTTAGGGGTTGTTTATTCCTTATTTAAGTTTAGGGAGATATATTACAATTTAGGGATGATACAGAGACCAGAACCCAAGGTCCCTAAAATGCCTCAGATGGGAATCATGAACTATTCTGGCTCTGTCACTTGACCTTCAGGTTACTTTCAACTATTTTTTTTTTTCAAATAGATTCTCATTGAGTGTCATTGTCACAGTCAGCTGTCCAGCTGCAAACATGAGATGAGAAGCATTCTAAGGCCCAGGATTCTGAGACTTATATCACCCAAGGGATGAGATAATGCACTCCACCCTTCTAAGCACTTATCCTTCTCTTTATAGTAATATCCACTAGGTAGTGCTGTGGTGCTGGTTAGGTACGTGTGTGTGTGTGTGTGTGTGTGTGTGTGTGGTGTGTGTGTGTGTGTGTGTGTGTGTGTGTGTGTGTGTGTTGGTCCTGGGGCTTGAACTCAGGGCTTGGGCACTGACTTTGAGCTTTTGTGCTCAAGGCTAGTACTCTACCATTGGAGCCATAGCTCCACTTCTAACTTTTATGTGGTTAACTGGAGACAAGAGGCTCATGGACTTTTCTGCTTGGGCTGGCTTAGAATCTTGGTTACCAGATCACATCCTCCTGAGTAGCTAGTATTACATGCATGAGCTACTGGTACCTGGCTAAGAACAACGCATCTTGATCAGTGTCACCCCTTCCATCATTTACGCCCCCTCTTTCTCAACCCTACCCATCTCAAGTTATATGGTTCCATTTTCACATATGCACATTGAATATTAAGGCATTCACCCACTCTTCCTCTCTCTATTCATTTCCCCCCTGCCAAAAAATAACCACATTTCAGCTTCCCAGTGTTAATTTGTTAAGCTGTTCATTAGTTGTTCAGAGGAATTACACCTTTGGAATCCTCCCCTGATATACCATACTTCAATAAATTTGTTTATATGCATATGACTGTATATGTATTTGTGTGTGTGTGTGTGTGTGCGTGCGCATGCCCTGGGACTTGAGCTGGGCACTATCCCTGTATCCCTAAGCTTCTTTGCTCAAAGCTAGTGCTCTACCAATTGAGCCACAGCTCACAAACTTTCTACCACCTGAGCCAAGTTTTAAGGATTTTCCTGCCTGGGCTGGCTTTGAATGGCAGTGATCCTTAGATCTCAACCTCAGGGTACAGGCTACAGGTGCCTGCCTTAGCTTTTTTTTTTTTTTTTTTCTTAAAAAAATTGTTATTATAAAGGTGAGGTAAGATGTATTTTTTAAACAACGAACACAACCTGATTTTATAGTAAGAAAAAATATTTTAATAAGAAAAGATTTCCCACAGAATTCTTAAACATGATTATGAATGTTCCTGGTGAACCGCAAGCACACAGAAGTTGCATGTCCTGAGCGTTCGGCTAAACCATCCACAACATCATTTCAACAAGATTCTTAGTACTCCTGGAAAACGCACCGCCCCTCCATTGAAGGGGGGGGGGTCACCGCCATCAGGAGGAGGGTCACCGCCATGGGAAGGCTCACACCACTGCCAGTGACCCCACCTTCCGCCTCTGCAGCCCCCTCGAAGCCCCTGTGGTCCGGACGCGTCCCCGACAAGCGCCGCACGCCGCTGCGATCTTTCCCCTTTCTCCCTAATCGGTTGGTTTTCCCACTACAGGACCTGGGGCCAAGTTTACTTTTGTTGCTGGTTTCCTCAGCTTAATTGCAAAGCAAAGTTAATTTGAAAGAAAAGAAATGCCGCAGCTCTGGGGCGAATTCTAACGAGCCTAAGGCAATTAGGGAAGAACGCATCTAATTACCCCGAGCCCCGGGGCGCCTGCACACCGCGCTGGGGTGCGAGTCCTGCGGAGGGGCAAACTCTTGCTCCCAGCGCATACATGGGGGGCGGGGGAGGGGAGAAAAGATAAAAAAGAGACGCACCTTCAGTCTCGGAACCCCCAGGTCAGGGGTTGGGAGTCCCGCCCCGCGGGGTGCGCTTTCCTGGAGTCAGCTGTCCCGAGGCGCTGCGGCTGGTCCGGCGGGCTGCGCGGTCCGCGCGGGTCCCCCCGCGGTGGCGGAGCCCAATTTTTGCCAGGCGCCCATTCCCTCCCGCCCACCGGGTGGCCGCCAGCTCTCGACCGGGAGACCGAGAAAGGGTGTTGATCGGTCTCCGGCGCCTGGATCTCAACCTTCTTGGGTCTCCGGAAGAACACACTCAAGTCCTTCCGCAGCGTCTTCTCTCCTGGCCGGAGCCGTGGCACAACCGCGTCCAGAATCCCGAGCCCACGACGACTTGCGGGAGGAGGCGGGGGGGGGGGGGGGCGGAAACGTCATCCTTGGCTATCCCAGCTTGCCCCTTCCCGGGGATTTATCGCGAAGCTCCTGGTTTTGTGACGCTTAAAAAAAAAATCTCCTTTCCACCTAGGTCCAGTCTCTTTGTTGTCAACACTCATCTCCTTCCTTTTTCTCTTTCCCCTTAACCAAGTTACATATATGTATATGTATATATATATATATATATACATATACATATACATATATATGTCCTTGCTTTTCAGGGGGACCATCTGAGGTAGCAATCACAAATTCCCATTTTGTAAATGAGGACATTAGAAAAGAGACTGATTAGCTTAAGGTTAATGGTTGAAGGGTTGCAATGGTAATTAGCAGAGGAAAAACAAAACAAAAACAAAAGCCGGATTCCAGCAGTAACCGGACACAAGTAATGGCTTAAGGGGACTGGAAGACTGAATTTCCACTCCAGACAGCAAGGCATCTTGACCTAGAACCCTTGAATGTCATACCTTGAAGGTTCCACAGGAGAAAGAGGAAGGCCCAAGTCTTTTCCTAGGTTGCAGGACTGAGTCTGGACTCCGGATGCACCCGGGCAGGGTCACGACAGGTTCGGCTGGCATTTGTCTCCAACTGGTCTTTTACCATCATAAAAGCCATAAAGAAATATTTAATCTCGGATTGTCCAATATAGGCTACTAATGATCACTCCGCAGGTGTGAGCCCAAAAAAAAATCTAGTAAAATACACTACAAAACTTGAAGATATTGCATGAAAAAAAATCTATCTCAAAATTTTAATGTTGACATATGTTAAATTTTTTGATGTATTAGATTAAATACAATGTATGGTTAAAACTAATCTCATCTGTTACTTTTTACTTTACTAATGTGGTTGCTAGAATATTCAATTTTTACAATTATGATTTGTACTATGTACTTATTGGGTTGCAGAAATTTGGACAAATTCCAATTTGGACTGAACAGAGCTCACATGTAAAGAGGATATTGCAGTCTCCAATCATTAACAAACAAACCCTAATACGTCTACATTCCTTTTCACAGTTCCACTCTTTTCTAATAAAGTTAACTGTGCTAAAGAGGTTTTTTTTTTTTTTTTTTTAAATCAGAGGAAAGTTAGATTTTTCTGATTTTGGTGTGCCTACAGCCTAGAACAGCAAGATAATAAAAGTCCAGCTTTCTTCCCCTGAAGATCATTTCAGTGACTGTCCAATTTCATGTTTCTCTTTTTCCCCTTTCATTTCCCTTCCTGCTTTTTTCCCTTCCTTATTTCTAATTTCCATCCTTCCATCCTTCCTTCCTTCCTTCCTTCCTTCCTTCCTTCCTTCCTTCTTCCGTCCCTCTCTCCCTCCTCCCTCCCTTTCACATCTTGACGAAAAGAAAACATGAGCAATACACAAGTGTATTTCTATCTCCCTCAACGGAGAATCAGATTTATGACTGGGCAGTTATAGCTGTGAAATGACAAGCACACCTGCTCAAAACATTGATGCTAGAAACAAAACCTGGAACTTTAAGTTAGATGCCACGTAGTTCCCTGAAAGTGGTTAGGCTTTGGGTCGCCATTCAGAAGCCCTCGGTGGCCCACCGATGTTGCCAAACTTGCAGGGTGGCATCCAGGAGGCCGGTGAAAACAACAAGAGCGGGTAGAGGACTGTGTAGATCTCTGCGGTAGCCGATGGGGAGACCAAAAGTCCAACTGAGGCACAGTTCCCACTGCCAGCTGTTTTCTGAATCGAGGAAAACCAGTTTGGTTCATTCAACCAGGACAAAAATCTCCTATATGAAAACAATGGGGGGGGGTACTTCTTTTGCAACCGTGTTATTTTAGGAATAAAAAGGCTCTGTTGGAGCCTTTTAGTGTACGGTAAGGTAGCCACAGGCCCCAGGTAGAACACCCGATCACCCTGTCCTTTGGGACTTGGCCTAATCAGGAGTTCCACATGTCTATCCAAACTCTGCGCTAGCCTCTCCCGCCTCTTCCCATTTACAAAGCAAATCGGGTGTGTAAGCGGTGTGCCCAGGAGTCTGGGCCTCTCGGGTCCTCTTGGTCCCTTCCACGTGGGTCTCAATACGGTCCTCTCTTTAGGTCTTGGGGACATTTAGTTCGCGTGGACAGCGGAGGTATCTAAAAATCTGTGTGCCTTGGGTTCATATGGCTGACACGAACCGATCCACCCCTCCAGGATAGGCGGCGTGGCGGGCATGGTAGGTGCCAGCACCGCTCCCTCCTAGCTGCCCGCCAGGATTGTAACAGGGCCCTAACGCTCCGAACTGGCCAGGCGAAGTGCGCCCGTAGAAGTCCACGGCGGTCTCCACGCCGCCACTGCTGCCACCCGACGGGGGCGAAGCGGGTCCCGCCAGGCGGCCGGCCGCGGCGAACAGCGCACTGCCAGCGCCCTGTGGGAACGCGCCGTCGGGGCCCGCATAGGCGGCCGCATAGGCCGAGGGGTTGGCTGGCCGGGCCCCGGCGCAGCCGGCGGGCTGATAACCGGTGGTAGTGGCGGGGGCGCCCGCCGAGGCAAAGGCGCAGGAGCCGCCGGGCCCAGACGGTGCAGGGCCCAGCTCCGGGCTGAGCGGCCGCTCCGGAACCAACCCGAAGACCCGGCAAGGACCTGGCGACGCGGCGGGGTAGTAGACCGGAGGCGGCGCGGCGAGCGACGGCGGCGCGTAGCCCGCATAGACGGCACCCGGGTAGGGCGGCCGCGCGGTGGGCACCGCACCCGGGAAGATGGCTGCGGCAGCGGCGGCGGCGGCGGCGGCGGCGGCTGCCGCCGCGTCGTGCATGTAAGCCGGGTACGTGGAAAGATCCGAGCGCTTGAAGCGCTTTCGGCGGCGCAGGAAGCTGCCGCTCTCGAACATGTCCTCGGCGTTGGGATCCAGCGCCCAGTAGTTACCTTTGCCCGGGCGGCCGGCCTCGCGCGGGATCTTGAGGAAGCAATCGTTGAGCGTGAGGTTGTGGCGGATGCTGTTCTGCCACTTTTTGGGGTTGTCGCGGTAGAAGGGGAATCGTTCGGTGATGAACTTGTAGATGCCGCCCAGGGTGAGGCGGCGCTCGGGCGCGTGCGCGATGGCCATGGCGATGAGCGCGATGTAGCTGTAGGGCGGCTTCCCGCGCTGCAGGGGGCGCTTGCGCCGGCGCCCCCCGGCAGCCCGGCCCGACGCCTCCGCGGGGACCCCCGCCCCGGCCCCCGCGGCCTCGCTGCGCTCCTCCTTCACCGACGCCAGCGCCTCGGGCTGCGGCGGCGGCGGCGGCCCGCTCTCGGCCGTCATGGCGCGGCGGTCCCTACCGTCTCCCGGGCGTCTGTGCCCCTCCTGGTGGGCGTCGATCGTCGTGGGTAGAGGCGGGCCTGGGTTCGGGACCCGAGTTCCCGGCAGCGACTCCAGGCGCTGGGAGGAGCGCTTCGGGCTCGCACCCAGAGCACAGCTGCTTGAGCTGGGGCGCGCTGCGGGCTCCTAGCCCCGGGTCTCCCGGCGGGCGCACTAGGGACTCCGCGGTGTCCCGCACACCGACGGCTCAGCTCCTGTTCTGGAGATCGAGGCCAGCTAGCGGAGCTAGTGTCGGGATCGGGGCTAGGTTCCTTGGCTCCCGGGTACCAGGCGATCGAGGGGTCCGGAAGTGGTCCCAAGATGGGAAGGAGAGCAGCTGGTCCAGGGTCCTTGCTGGTCAGAGGATCACCGTCGAGGTCGTAGCCGCAGAAGAGGCTGCAAGAGAAGGTCTGAAACCAGAGCGGTCAGTGCGGCGGGCGCGGGACCCTTTGCCAGTGGGCCGCCCAGGCCCGGTCCCCGCGGCCGAAGCGTCCGGCCGTGCTGAGTGCAGGGAGGCGAGGCAGGGCAGCAGGGTCGGGGCGCGGGCCAGGCGGGGCGGCGGGCATCTGCTCTCCTCCTCAGCGGTAGACTCGGGGACCGCTGGCGTGGCGCTCCCCCGAACGCACCGGGGCCAGCTCCTCCCTCCGCCAGTTTCTCCTCCTTAAAGGCGCCAGGAAGCTTGGGGCGTAGCCGGTTCCCCGCCCGCCCCCCCCCCACTGCCCGCCCCCCAGGCGCACCTCCCCAGGTGCCTGCCGCTGCGGAGGCCAAGAGGAAGACCTGTAGACGCTGGGGAACCGTGGGGGCGCTTGGACATGTCGGGGGTGGGGAGCGTCCCCTCCTACAGGCCAACGGGGAGACTGAGGCTGGAAGTTTCCAAGAACCTGCTCCGGAGATCTCAGAGCGGGAATTTAGCGCCTCCGGATCTTGGCGATCGCGGGCGGATGGAGACTCCCGGGTGAAAAGAAGAGATCATCTGGCAGGTTTTTTTTTTTTTTTTCTGTCCAGAAGCTAGACCTACGGGCGCTTGTGCCAGAGTAGGAATAGAACAATTCCTAGTGACTGACTGATCTTTCAGGATGATTTCCAAGATCCTGGTCATCGCTGCTCGGCCCACTCTCTGGTCCAGGCCCATCTTTCGGACCAGGATTCTCAACGGAAGGTGACTGGCCATGGCTCCGCCGCAACTTCCCGGCTTAGAGGAGCCTCCTACCTGTGTCTGAGGGCTGCGCTTCCCAGCTGTGTGCCAGATGTGGCCCTTCTCTGTTTCCAGGTGCCTTTTTTTGGGGGGGGAGGGGAGGTCCACTGGTTCAACAAAGGATTCTGGTCTCAAGAGTCTTTCCTTTGTGGGTATTTGGGGAGAGTCCTGGCACCGTCTTGGAGTGGCTCAGGACCCCTCTTTATGGAGAAGGATGGTACGTTGTGAAGATGATGGAGGGGAGGTGCCTGCCCTCTCGCGGTCACCTCTTTGTGGAGCCGGCGGTGGCTTCAGGGAGTTCCGATACTGCGCAGGGCAGACAAGTAGTCTGTTTCTGAAACCCAGAGAGCGAGGGAGGAGGAATCTACTATGGGGAGCGGGGTACAAGTCCAGGGAGAATGGGGGCGGGGACAGGGAGGGAAGGGGCGGGTAGATGCAACCCGTTTGCTTCGCAGGTGTCTGGTTTTTGCTGAGGCGCGCTGGGGTCCCCAGAGGCAGGGTTAAGTACTGGGAGACTAGGACTCGTAGCATAGCGCAGCCCTTTTCAATGGCCAATATTTTAGTCTGCCCCTTTGCCCTGGAATGGCCTCTGGATTCGGGCAGTTCCGTCGCCGCCCCCCCCCCCTCCCCAAACCCTGAGGATTCCTGGCCTGGGAGAGGCCAGGACGTAGCTCCTGGGAGGAACTGTGCTGCTGGGCCTGGAGGAGGGTGTCTGAGAAGTGGGTGAGACCTGGCTTCCCAGTGGAAAGTTCTGGCTAAAATAGATTTTGGGTTTTAGTCCCGTACCTCAGCAAACACTGGGCAGCTTCCTTCTGAAGAAAGAGATAAAGGCCCAGAACTTCATTCCACTGACCCGGGCTTGGAGTTCTTCCCACTGCTCACTGTGGACGGGTCCCTCTCAGGGGTGTCCTAGGAGATGCAGAGGGACACCGCTCCCAGATCCTTTCATCCAAAGTAAGAAAGAAGCAAAAACTACACACACACACACACACACACACACACACACACACACACGGACACACCACCACCACCACCACCACCACACCACCACCACCTTTTAGCTTGTTAAACTAGATTATGTCTTTAGGTCTTTTAATATAAGTTCTTTGTTTTTTCTATATTTTTAAGATTAATAGATTCAGATTTCCAGAGTTTAAGTTCTAGATCATTATCCTAACATGATTCCATGAACCAAGGAACATGATGATATATTTCTGTGGTTCAAGCCTAAAAGCTTATGATTACAATGTTAAGATGTGAGGACTAGGGTTTTGTTTGGGGAACTTATGATGCCACTATTGGGAGCTGCTTCTTCTCTTAGCTTTAGGGTTTGCTGTTGTTTGTTTTTTTAATCGGCTCTGAAGTGTATGTTGTTTTGTGTGTCTATTGTAAGACATGCATCCTATAAATCCATAGTTCTGTCTTTAATTCCAAAATATGAGTACTAGAGCCATTGTTTTGCTGCTCAAAGAATCATACTCCAATAATTCTAATATTTATTATAGTGTGCTTTAATGATTTTTCTCTTTTAATCCCAGTAACTATGGCTGAAAGCCTCCTCCACTACCCTCCTGGATGGTGTCTTGTGTTTTCATTCTTTTAGAATTCCAATTCCTCTCTCTCTGAAACTTTGTTACTGCCCAGCTATACTTCTCTTCCAGACCAAGAATTAGCTCTGTTGAGCTCAAGAATTGGGAATGTAGCTCAGTGGTAGAGAGCTTGTTTAACATGGGCAAAGCTCTGTGGCTCCATCCTCAGCACGGCAAAAACAAAACAATTCTAAAAATCTCGTCAACACAGTACCCCTAAGATTCTGTATCACAAATATCTTATTAAAACAAAGTACTTCAACATTCTATACTTTGGGAATTCTAGAACTTCACGATGTGAGGTTTAGATTAAATGATTTGATGAGTATGAGGCATTAAAAATATAAAAATCCCTTTGGTGGCAGAGCATTTCTTTATCTTCCTTATCGTTAGCTTCTTTCCCCGTTTCTTGAGTAAGGGGTGGGGTGATCACAGTTAGGTCTTCTTCTCTTAATGTTGTGGGGTCAGAAACTTCATTAAGAATCATTGGAGGGGCTGGGAAGGTGGCTCAGTGGTAGAGCGCTTGCCTTGCATGCATGAGGCCCTGGGTTCGATTCCTCAGCACTACATAAGCAAAAAGAAAAAAAGCCGGAAGTGGCGCTGTGGCTCAAGTGGTAGAGCTGAAGAGCTGAGGGACAGTGCCCAGGCCCAGAGTTCAGGCCCCACGACCAGCCTCCCTCCCTCAACCCTCCCCAAAAAAAAAATCATTGGAGGTGAGGGAGCTCCAGCCCCATGTAAGTCCAGTGGAGATGTGGTTTTATGGCCAGACTGAGCCAAGTGATTTCTACTTGCTCCTTTCCAGTGTTAGCTCCAGAAATTCCCAGCACACCTCGGAGAAGCTTGCCCCCTCCCAGGGCATTTAAAATGCATTTGGGTGGGGGGAGGGGAATGCAGGGGGAAGGGGGTTTTATTGGGGCTCAGTAGGAGACCTGGACACTCCCTTGAAACAACTGCTTTCCAGGATTTGAAGCATCCTGGGAAGGTTTGTCTATAAAAATAGGGGGATCCAGAGGACTATGGAAAATTCCTCCACTTTCCTCAACCCAGATACCTAGGACAGAAGTAAAGGTAACCAGATCTTTCATCAGAGGCCTTGGAAATTAGAGCTGAGGGAGCTTGGGCCCAGGTGCTGGGCTTAAGGATTTGAAGAGAGCAGTGCATTAGGCTGAGAGATAAACAGGTTTTTTTGTTTGTTTGCTTGCTTTTTGGTGTGTGTGTGTGTGTGTGTGTGTGTGTGTGTGTGTGTGTGTGTGTGTGTTTGGGGGGAGGGGAGGGCTCTTACTGCTGACCCACATGGCCTTTTGATCTTTTCTTCAGTTCTCAAAGCCTATTTGGTGCCTAATTTTCTAACTTGGGCATTCTTCTTACCCAGCATCAAAGAAATCGCTGTACCAGATACTAGCAAATCCATTCTAGAATCTCCTTACGTGGGCAACACGTGTGTGTGGTGGTGGTGAGGGGGTTTTAGGACATGCTGTCACAGTCCCCAGGGAAGTGTGCATCCAGGGAGCTTCCGAGAGAGACACTGAGAGGGTCTTTGTCTCAGCCCAACGGGGTGGGAGGTGCGCGTCTGTCCCGAGTCTCTGTTCCGGTGTTGCAAGGTGGTTCACTTCAGCCCTAGATCGATCACCTGCTCAGCGGGTCTTGCGCGACTTCTGAGGCCTCAGATTTGGCTTCTACGAAGCTGAGGATCCTGGCTTTCTTTTCTCTTCCACTGAGGCGAGAGGATGGAATTGGGGTGCATCGCCCCCATTTTCTTTTTCTTTTATATTGTTATCAGGACAAAATGGGGACGTGGGAAAAGCTGCTGAAGAAAAATTCAACTCTGCGCCGCCGTTCATGGGTGAAGATAAAGAAGTATCGGGATTAAGTAAGTGAACTATTTTTGGGTGATCCAGCAGGGGTTTGGATTTTGCCGGCCGGAGCGCGTGGACTTTCCCCCACTCCCATAGTGCCCGCAGGACCCCCAGAACTGGGCCGGAAAGCGTTTCCTTATTATCAGTTTACTTAATAAATACTGCAAATAGAATTGCCATCGCATCACCCCCAACGCTGCCCACACCGGAGCTGGAGCGCGGGAACCGGGGGACCCGGAGCTGGGCAGAGAGGAGCAGGCTGGGGCCAGGGTCCCAGGACGCCCAGCTGCGCAGCTGGAGTGTCCGCCCTGCCACTGCCCCGCG